CAAAACTCTCAAAGCGGCTATTACACGTGGATAGGAGTTGTGTAGGCCTGCCAACCCATTGTTATCACTGGCTTTGTCCGTAAACTAGGCTTCTATTCCGGCTCTGCTCTAAAAACGCTGTTTTAGGGGCAATTAAAGGTGGGGTGGGGGCAGGGTGGGTGGTGTCTAGCACAGCGAACGAAGGTACGATATTCATTCAACGACAAAGTTCAATTAGTAAAGCTACTTTATACATTCTTTCCTCTAAGTTAAGGTTCACTAATGGGGTCTTCAGCTTCCGTCGCCTTTCAGTTTTTCATCCCATCAGTTCAATCTGTAGACTGATCCACACTTTCATTAAAACAGTGAGGCTCAAAATGAGCCGAACAAAGGTAGGGTTCCTTGGGCAAATTGGCTTTTGGTCGCTTCATGGCAATCAGCCACTTTCTCCATATTTCCCCTTGAAGTGGTACTCGATGAAAGGAGATCGAAGGATTCTTGTTCTTAGAGTCGATATTACAACCAACTGCACAGCAATACGGCATGTTGATCTTTCTTTTGTGGATCGTTACGACGTGAAATTCAGCGTTTAGGGATCTGGCAAAGATGATCCAGTTCTAAGGATTTCGTAAATATGTTAATATTTGGGCGCCATGTTCAAACCACACCGCGCATTGACGTCATAATCTCCCAGAAAACTTTGCGATGGTAAAAATGGCGGCGGTCTTAAAACACGGAGAAAGTAAACGCCTGGTATTCAAACTAGGGGGAATATTATCGAGTTTAAACCACTCTGTCAGTCTCAGGTCAGAACCAACTTATTATTTTGGCCTTAACTGTTTTTCAGCCAAGATTCCCTTTAACAACGTTAGGAGATCGATCTTTTGCTGTTGCTGCTCCTCAACTATGGAATTCATTGCCCTATGCGATTACGAGCAGCCCCTTAGTAGCATCTTTTAAAAAGACACTCAAGACATTTTTATTTCAGAAAGCTTTTTGGTATTTTTATGTGCTTTTGTTCGTGTTTTACACTGATTACTTGATACGTATAATCTCTCGGCAATGTTCTTCTTGTTCCGTGTCGTCAACCGTTATTTGTGAGGTTTCATTTCGATAAGAAACCAATGCAAGGCAACCAATATCACTTCCTGAACATCACAATTTCACCAGAGGTGCAATAACATCAGAACTGTACTGATAAAGTACGCACAAAACTGCATGATCATTCACTGTAGCGCTTACGTGAGATTCCAAGGCTTTACATG